AAGAAGAAAATAAAATAATGCATTAAAAAACTTTACCTCTCTTTCTATAGCTTCGTATTTGTCATTTCCAGAAAGACGATAGTCTTGAAGCCTAAAAGAAACAACGTTAAATTCAGATTGACAATGTATAATATCTGAGATGTGATCTATCTGAAAATCTACAAAAGTTCAAAAGCAATTACCTTCTCTCTAAGTCTCCATTTCTTTCTTGTAAATTGTCAACCTGGACTTGTTTCTCGTGCAATTGCGCACTCGTCTAAATTCACAGAAACATGTAGAAAATGAATTCTAAGAAACACACGACTCAAGTGATATAAAACACTGCAGTTTACCTGGTTTTTGTAGAGAGTGTGTGACTGTCTCACACTACTTAGTTCGTTCTCAGTTTGTTCAAATGTTTTCTCTATTCTTGAAAGTTGTAATGATTTCTACAAGAAAAGGTAGCAATTGAAAACTGTTAGCCTTCAAATGTTTGAACGAGTTTTGCTTAGAATTTCTTGTATGCCATCKCCTTCTTTATAAAATAATTTAGTTCAAAACTTTGAGTCTTGCAGACGCAAAGTTAGAAATATTTTTGTGTAATATCCAACTCTACACAAAGTATTGACGCATACAAGCTCAATGTGTGACAAAAAATCCGCCATATTGAATTTGCGCAAAACGCGCAACAATGAAGAAATCGTGCATACACTTTGAAATTCCGTAACTCCAAACAATTTAATCCAAATTCTAAGCGTTACGCTCATTCGGYATGTATGCCAAGAGAGGCATTGYAATAAGACAAAATGTTAACTGTACTTCTTGGGACCATTTTGTTTTAGTTGAAAATAAATATTTATTACGATCCGAACTTTTTAGTCTAAARCAAAAATCTTCTTTTTTGCCATTTAGCATTCCAATGCCAACTATKATAAAGAACAGATTTTGAAAATCTCACCAAAGTAAGCGAAGGGAGTTATATGAMGTCAAAGTGATCCARATTTCTTAAATTTTCACGTGTTTTGCCCCGATTCAAAATGGCGGACATCCACGTGAAATGGTCTATGAATACCTGAGTTAGCTCGCTGATACTTTTATTCAGTTCGTCTCTTAATGAGGTATTTTCTTTTTCTAAGTTYGTAGTTTTTGTTTGGAGTTGTTTTTCTCTAACTTCATATTTGGTTCTGAAAAAGCAGAAAAAAATATAAGTATCGTAAACTAAAAACATAAAGTGGAAAAGAGAAAAAGATAAGAAAAAAAGCAGTGTTTGGCAGAGAGAAAGTCAAGCGACACAACAACAACACAAACAAAACACAAACACAACAAAACACAAAGAGAATGAGGTTAAATTGACAGAGAAATTCYCGGAAAGACAGACCGAATATGAAGGAAGATTGCTTTATAAAGTGAACAGTCCGAACAGTCCATACCTTTCTCTAGCTAAGTCGTCCAGTCGTTCTTGTAGTGATTCTAAATCGTTTTTCTGCTTGGCGTATTCTTTGTCAAGGTCGTCTAATTGCTAAAACAAAGATAAATAACCTCATTACGCCATAATATATTTACAAAGGAGCAAGCAAAATGTAGAGTTGTTCGGTACCTTGCTTTTTTCAAGTATCTCTGCAGCTTTTCGCGTCGCGTCACTCTGGTATTGTATGAACTAAAAATCAAGAAAATTGAGATCAATATTGAACTGAAAAAATCACATTAAGTTAAACTCTGTATTGCTCTTACTTTGAGAAACGTTTGTGACTTTAAGAATGATTAAATAATCTACTTATAAACATTTATGTTGATAATTCAGATACTGGACTAAAACTCACAAGCAAATTTTCAATTGAAACAAAACAACTTTAAGTTCTTCGCGCGCGCGTCAGTTTCCCGCCATTTTATTTCTTACAATCACCCCCACCCCTCCCGTCTTTATTTGACATACCATTGATTTCATTTTCCCAAGCTCTTGTTCTTGTAAGCCATGTAGCTCACGTAAATCCTCAAATCGGTTACTTTCCTAACACCAACAATACTTAGGTTTAAATAATGATCAATTATTATAGTTTTCAATTGTTTTTTATCGTGCTTACCGCTAAATGCGCTTTGTCTTTATCAAGCAAATCCTACAGGCAAAGGATATGATAAAACATCATGCAAGCATGCGCAATGGGCCTTAATATTCTATCCCACATGGCTTAGATATAAACATGCAGTTTAGTCTGTACTCTGATAACGATGAGGAGTCAGATTTACAAACAATCAAAGGTTCA